CTCTCTCTCTCTCTCTCTCTCTCTCTCTCTCTCTGCCTGCCTCTCCGTCTACTTGTGATCTCTCTCTGTCAAATAAATAAATAAAATCTTTAAAAAAAAAAAAGATTTTATTTATTTATTTGATGGAGACGGAGAGAGATCACAAGCAGAGGGAGAGGGAGAAGCAGGCTCCCTGCAGAGCAGGGGAAGCCCGATACAAGACTCGATCCCAGGATCACGACCAAGCCGAAGGCAGTGGCCCAACGCACTGAGCCACCCAGGCGCCCGTTGTTTTGGTTTTTTGTTTTGTTTTGTTTTGTTTGTTTGTTTGTTTTGTTTTTTTGTTTTTTTGTTTTTTTTTTTGAGAGAGAGAGGGAGAGATAGCATAAAGCAGAAGTGGGGCTGGGCAGGGGGAGGGGGTCGGGCAGAGGGAGAGAGAGAAGCAGGCTCTCTGCTGAGCAGGGAGCCCAATGCAGGGCTCAGTCCCAGGATCCTGGGATCATTACTTGAGCCAAAGGCAGACCCTTAACCAACTAAGCCACCCAGGCACCCTAGAAATTTTTTTTTAAGATTTTATTTCTTCGGCGCCTGGGTGGCTCAGTGGGTTAAGCCTCTGCCTTCAGCTCAGGTCATGGTCTCAGAGTCCTGGGATCGAGCCCCGTGTCTGGCTCTCTGCTCGGTGGGGAGCCTGCTTCCCCCTCTCTCTCTCTGCCTGCTTGGGATCTCTCTATCAAATAAGCAAATAAAAATTTTTTTTGAAGATTTTATTTATTTATTTTGACAGAGAGAGATCACAAGTAGGCAGAGAGGCAGGCAGAGAGAGAGGAAGGGAAGCAGGCTTCCTGCCGAGCAGAGAGCCCGATGTGGGACTCGATCTCAGAACCCTGGGATCATGACCCGAGCCGAAGGCAGCGGCTTAACCCACTGAGCCACCCAGGCGCCCAATAAAATTTTTTTTTTAAAAGATTTTATTTCTTTATCTTAGAGAGCACGAGCCTGGGTGGGGCAGAGGGAGAGAGGGACAGAGTCTCAAGCAGACTCTAGGCTGAGTGCAGAGTCCAACATGGGGCTTGATCTCTGAGATGATGACGAGCCGAAATCAAGAGCCAGATGCTCAACCAAGTGAGCCACCCAGGTGCCCCAAAACTTTTACTTTCATTTTTATAAAGTCTCTACTTACTTGGTATAAGGTAATTTGGTACTTTGAAGCTGTAAGAATGGAAAGTACTACAAATGATAAGATTTATGGTTATTAATGAAAGATATTAAAGTACAGCTACAAAGTATATGCCCAAAACATCTGACAAACTTATATACAAGAAATATAATATTTTAACTAACATAAAGACCTAGAAAGATAATTATTATAGAATAAAAATTAATGAATTTCTATACATCATTATTACCATTAGTGGTCATGGTTTTATAATAGTATTATTTGTTCATAGGCATTTTTTTACAGATTGAAAGGGTATTTTCTTTGGAAATTGTAATGCTAAAATAAATAAACAGAAAAGGATTTTTTTTTTTTTTTAAGATTTTATTTATTTGACAGAGATCACAAGTAGGCAGAGAGGCAGGCAGAGAGAGAGGGAAGCAGGCTCCCCGCTGAGCAGAGAGCCCGATGCGGGGCTTGATCCCAGGACCCTGAGATCATGACCTGAGCCGAGGGCAGAGGCTTTAACCCACTGAGCCACCCAGGCGCCCCCAGAAAAGGATTTTTAAAATGCATGTCATGGGGCGCCTGTGGCTCAGTCATTAAGTGTCTTCCTTCAGCTCAGGTCATGATCCCATGGTCCTGGGATCAAGCCCCGCATCAGGCTCCCTGCTTGGTGGGAAGCCTGCTTCTCTCTCTCCTACTTCCCCTGCTTGTGTTCCCTCTCTCGCTGTGTCTCTCTCTGTCGAACAAATAAAATCTTTTTTTTTTTTAAAGTGCATGTCAGGGGCGCCTGAGTGGCTCAGTTGGTTAAGCGACTGCCTTCAGCTCAGGTCATGATCCTGGAGTCCTAGGATCGAGTCCCACATCGGGCTCCCAGCTCCACAGAGAGTCTGCTTCTCCCTCTGACCTTCTCCTCGCTCATGCTCTCTCTGTCTCTCTCTCTCTCAAATAAATAAATAAAAATAAAATATTTTTTAAAAAATAAAAAATAAAAAGTGCATGTCAAAAAGGGCACCCAGCTGGCTCAAGTCGGTAGAGAAAGCAACTCCTGATCTCAGGGCTGTGAGTTCAAGCCCCATGTTGGGTATAGAGATTACTTAAAAATAAAATCTTTAGGGGCGCCTGGGTGGCTCAGTGGGTTAAAGCCTCTGCCTTCGGCTCAGGTCGTGATCCCAGGGTCCTGGGATCGAGCCCCACATCGGGCTCTCTGCTCAGCAGGGAGCCTGCTTCCTCCTCTCTCTCTCAGCCTGCTTCTCTGCTTACTTGTGATCTCTGTCTGTCAAATAAATAAATAAAATCTTTTAAAAAAATAAAAATAAAAAATAAAATCTTTAAAAATAGTAATAATAAAATTTAAAATAAAAATGCTTATTGAGGGATGCCTGGCTGGTTCGGTTAGTAGAAAATGCAATTCTTTTTTTTTTTTTAAGATTTTATTTATTTATTTGACAGAGAGAGATCACAAGTAGGCAGAGAGGCAGGCAGAGAGAGAGAAAGGAGGAACAGACTCCCCGCTGAGCAGAGAGCCCGACTCAGGACTTGATCTCAGGACCCTGAGATCATGACCTGAGCCAAAGGTAGAGGCTTAACCCACTGAACCACCCAGGCACCCAAAAATGCAACTCTTGATCTTGAAGTCGTCAGTTCAAGCCCCATATCAGGTGTGGAGCTTATATTGAAAAAATTAAAATGTGTGTTGAGATAAGAAAGATATTAGTAGATTTATATGCTATAACTATCTTTTTTTTAGTACATAACTATCTTAAATAGTAGAAGAAAAACTTCTACATAAACAAATACAGGTGAGAAAAGTATGGAAGACTACAGTTACGTAATATTGGTATAGAAAGGACCTTTATGAACAAAATCAGTGCCAGATTAAAATACTTGGACTATAACAGACAAGTTCCATAATGTATGAGAAATTAATATGTCAGTTATTTTTAAGATTTCTTATGGAAAATGACAATATTTGGCATTTAGAAACTAAATTTTTTACAGTATAACAACTTGAAAAAGAAGCTGCAGTGTCACAACATTTTTGCATAAATGTAAAAAAGTGAGGAAGTCTGCTTGTTTGTAGTTACTAAAAATAAAAGGATAAAATAAGAAACTTAATGAAATCCAAAATGAAAGGAAAGGGATGCTGTAGTAGCTAATTCCCAGTCTGTATTTAAAATTTGCTTTTTTTTAAATGGTTTTTTTGGTTTGTTTGATGTTTTGTTTTCCAAAGCAAATGTGGCTTTTGCTAAAACACATTAAGGCTTTTCATTTTTCCTCTTCCTTTTAGTTTTTACTTGAGCTCTTTAGGATATTTATTCTAGGGGCACCTGGGTGGCTTAGTCATTAAGCGTCTGCCTTCGGCTCATCGGGCTCCCTGCTCAGCAGAGAGACTGCTTCTCCCTCTCCCTCTGCCCTTTCTTATATTCCCCTTCTGTCTGCCTCTCTCTCTGTCAAATAAATTCATTAAATTAATTTTTAAAAAATTTAAAAGATATTTATTTTATGCAATTGAAAATGGCTCTAGTTGGGACGCCTCGAGTGGCTCAGTTGGCTAAGCATCTGTTCTGCTCAGGTCATGATCTCAGGGTCCTGGGATCAAGCTCTGTGTGGGGCTCCTTGCTCAGTGGGAAGTCAGCTTCTCCCTCTGCCCCTCCCCCCTGCTTGTGCGCTCTCTCTCTCTCTCTCAAATAAATAAAATCTTCTAAAAAGAAAGAAAGAAAGAGAAGATGGTTCTAGTGCTAGAGCTCCTGCCCTGCAAGCGTTTTTCAGATTGCAGGAGAGAGAGAAAAGATCTTAGAGGGTTTGCTGACAAACTGCTGACTTCCACCCTGGGTTTTTTTGAGAGCAAACAACCTCACCAGTGTCTCATGGTCAATCCCCACCAACTCAGACCAGAGACATAAACCTATGGATTCTATGCCATAGGTTCTAGCATATGTTTAATATTTAAATGTTCTATCATATAAAATAAGCTAAAATTTGCTTATGACTAACACTAAAGTTCTTATTTGGCATTTTATACCAATATTGTTTTACATCTTTAATAAGAAAGTAAGAAGGATTGCTTATTTAATGTGACAAATATTTTTAAACCCTTCAGTAAACCATAAAATGAGTCATATATATATATATACATATATATATATATATATATAGTATTCAAATAAAACCATCTGATTTATGGAAAATAATATTTTTATAGTTCTGTTATTGATCGTAAACTAAGGATTTTTCTCTACAGCTCTTTTCACAGTAAATGTGTGATTCAAAACATCACATTTTCATTAAAATAAATCTCTGGGACGCCTGGCTGTCTAGTTGGTAGAGCATGTGACTCTTGATCTCGGGGGTTTAAAGTTCAGTCACCATGTTGGGTATAGAGATTACTTAAAGATAAAATCTTGAGGAGAAATTTTTTTTTTTTTTTTTTTTAAAGATTTTATTTATTTATTTGACAGAGAGAAATCACAAGTAGGCAGAGAAGCAGGCAGAGAGAGAGAAGGAAGCAGGCTCCCTGCTGAGCAGAAAGCCCGATGTGGGGCTCGAACCCAGGACCTGGGATCATGACCTGAGCCGAAGGCAGCGGCCTAATCCACTGAGCCACCCAGGCGCCCCTTGAGGAGAAATTTTTTAAAAATAAAGTAAATCTCTCATATTTAGAAGCTGTACCCCTTCCTAGTTTGAGTTTTATACAGTTTCCTGTTACAATGACCACACATCACCAGTTACTCCTGAAGGATAAAACAGTTTGCACTTTCAACTTTGAGAAGAAATGCATTTTAGAACATTTTTTATTCCAACATACTTTTCAAAAGTTATTCTGCATTCCTGTTTTCCTATGTCTATTTTTAATTTAAAGGAACGGCCGAGAAGTGCAGTGGAACAACTCTGTTTGGCAGAAAGTACCCGAACTAGGATGACTGTGGAAGAGCAAATGGAAAGAATAAGGAGACATCAGCAAGCATGCTTGAGGGAAAAGAAAAAAGGATTAAATGTTATTGGTGCTTTAGACCAGTCACCCTTACAGAGTCCTTCAGGTTTAAGGGATAATCCATTCAGGATTACCCAGGTAGATCTATTGCATTTAATCATTCTTCTGTGTAAATCTAATACCACTTGAATCAGGATAATGGATTTACATGATTGATGGGTTTTCAAAAATGTCTACAGTATGGTTATTTTATATTACTTAATTCCCATAAAAATAAGCTAAGACAGCTTAGTAAAATGGAAATAGCCCTAAGTTCAAAAAATCAGAGCTCTAGTACTTGTTGGATGTCCTCGTACCAGTTGTGGACTCCATCTTCCGGGCTGTAAATCAGATGATGATACAGCCCATCCCATCTACTTCACAGAGATACTAAGAAGATAAAAGTGCTTTCCACAAATGTGAAATGCCAAGATAGTCCCCAGTTCCCCCTCCAATAAAATGTGTATTACTCTCTGTCCTAATTTAACATGACCTAAATTGTAGCGGAAGAGAACTTCTAAATAAAAGTCCTAAGTCTACTATTCATTGCATTCCAACGCCACCTTGTAAAGTGACGCCATTCCATTTCTTACGATTTGTTTGTTACCCCGATTCATGAATACAGAGATAAAAGACATGGGAAACTTTTTCAGTAGCTTCAGTCTGGTCTGTCCTTGTTAGCAAACATGCATCAGCTAAAAGTGTTTTTCTGTCCTCCTGGAAATCCCCTTTCCATCTGATCAAGAGCTGGTAGGCATTGCTACTGAAGACCCAGCAGATTAACAGTTGAATAATTACACATTCTCCAAATTACAAAATGGATGCTTCAAAGAGAGAAAAAAAATGTGTGGAATACTGATATGTATATTTTTTTTCCCTCCGTTGGTTTTCATAAAGAAACCTCCTTGTGAGTGAGGATCAGCCTTTTTTCAAAATTAACAGGTGCTATCTAAAAACTGTACGTGGCTTCGTAGTATGAATCTCTGCTATATGTCTTTTGGACAGACTCGAAGAAGGGATGATAACGTTAAGGAAATGGATACAGTCATTAGAGAAAATGATGTGAAGCCAACCCGTGAAACTCCTGCAGCAGAAATTGTTCGACTAAAAGAAGCTGAACCTCAAGATACGGATTTCAACAAAGAGGTAGAGAGATTATTTTAGAACAGATATTGCACGAGGTAGATTTTTGAAGATTAGACCAAACAATAAGGTTGAAAATAATTGTTTCATTTCATCATAGAGACCATGAGTCTAAGTGAAATGATAGGTTTTGTTTAACCTGAGTGATGTATTCAGCACATCAAAAAAATGGGTTAATTGGACATTTAAAACATAATCAAGGCTAGAATAAATTACTGTTAACCCCAATTAAAGAATCTTATATCCCAGAGCTACTGGCTATTAGCAATGTGTATCACCCCTCCAGGCCAATAACTTTTTGTATCCCGTACTAAGAATGTTAATATTTTTCATATACTTGAATCTAAAGATGTATTTCAGTAACTATTTGACTGGGTATCATTTTTTAACAAACTTTTATTTTTTAATCATTTTTCTTCTTACTCTGTAGTTTAAAAAAACTGAGGACGTTTTTTCCAAAACCCTTTTCAAACCTGAACCAAATGGAGTAAGTTCAGAGGAAGTGATGGATAAAGAGGGAAACAAGGAGAAAATGTCTGAGGATGTTCCATACAGGTAATGATTAGGGAAAGTGATAAAGGAATTGCTCCCAAAATTATATAACACTTAAGGATGGTGTCAGAAAGTCTTGGATTCCCGTCCCGGCTTAGCAACTTGAGCAACTTACATAACCTCCCTAAACTGCAAGTTCCTTACCTATAAAACTGGGGTAATAATAGTATCTGTATCACAAATGTGTTATGATGATTAAATAAGAAAACACAGGTATAGCACTTAACCACTATGCTTATTAGCACCTAGGAATTTGGTAAGGACTTTTAAAAAACCTACCAAAACATGCATGTGCTGTATCAAAGTCAGGCCCTCAGCACTGGCTGCATAATGGATCGAATAGACACTGATCAGAAATCCAAGGTGTCTGGTGTGTTCCAGAAGCCACTGTGATTGGCTCTCTGTTTTTTAGCTGTGCTTCTTAACTGGCTTTCTTATGTGTATGTCCTCAGCCTCACCCTTCATTAGAAAAATTACCAGAGCTGGAAAGAGAATTGCTGGGATTTAACATTTTTCAGAATGCCTTTATTTCTTCAATGAATAGCAAGATTGAGTTTGAAAAACTTTTAGCAATCGCTGACAAGAGGAAAACCTGCTGTTTTGTTAATAGGTGTAGATTAAAACTCATCTAGTATGTTAAAAATCTGCGAGTTTCATGACCCAACAATAACAAAAAATAGTTGGCCACTTTGGACAATGCTAAGGAATTGACTTCTTATTCCAAAACCTGGTACATAAAGGCAAAGAATCAAGTGTTTATCTTGCCTTTCCCAAATAAACTGCAACCAAAAAGTTTTTGAGGCGATATTTTTCATTATAGAAGAATTTCATTCAATAAGGAATGAAAGACTTAGAATATCATTGTTTTGCTAATCCTAAGGAAATAAAGGATTTGAATAATATTCCTCCATGGCCAGAAAAGCAGAAAATCTGGCAGGGCAGTTTATAATAAGTAAATTCAGAAACCTTGAACTCACTGATCTTTTTTAACGTCACAGAAAGAAACAACCTATTCGGGCAGTAGTGCACGAACCCCACCTAATGAAATAATTACCTTTCCCCAAAAATCCTTAATCTGATCAAGCACTCAGAGTCCTTTTCAGATTATTAAAAATAAAAGGAATATAATCAGCAAAATACAGAATGTGGTAAACTCTGTGGGATGGAGAAACCAAGTTGTTTCACATAAGTGGCAAAGAATAAAAAGGATGTGTGGGGTGGGGTATTTTAGATTAAAGTTAACTTTAAGAGACTTGTCAGGCAAATACAATACACAGACTTCAGATCTGCTTGAAACCAATAACTCTAAAATGCTGTTATGAGGCAATCAAGAAAATTTGAGTACTGACTGGATATTTGATGACATTGAGCTATTATAAATACAAACTGAAATATTTACAGATCAGATGGTATGTCTGGAATCTGCTTATAATTTGGGGAGTGGGAGACTGGGAGTTAGGTGAAACAATATTGGTAAAATATGGATTACCTGAGTGCACGGGTTTCGTGTATCATTTGCTCTCATTTTTTATGTTTAAAGATTTCTTTTAGGGAGAAGAAAAGCGATTCATTACAAGCAAAGTGTTAGCAGTTACTAATTATAAATGGTGGCATCTTTTGTATATGGTTAAACATTTTCATGATGACAAATTGGGAGAAAAAATTTTATTGTAGTCTGTTAATACCAAGTTTTAAAATACCAGTCTATTCTATTAGTCCTCAGGATGAGACGCAGATCACAAATCATAAAACAGAAAGTCACCCTGAAGAAAATATAAAGGACAATATTCATGAGCAGGAAGAAACTGTTGCTTCTTATGAACAAACTCCCGAGGCTTCTAGAGGAAATCAAACAGCAGGTAGCTACTACACATTCCGTACTTTTCTCACTGCGGTGCCCTCTGAACCTCTGAATTTACTTTCGCCTCCACATGCCCCTTCAGGAAAGATGTGACTGGGAAGGATGGAAGGTGGACCTCAGCCTAGATCCACAGTCTGTCCTGGCTTGGGGATCACTTCCTTCTCTCTCTCTCACTCTCTCTTCATCTTAACCTTAACTCGTATACCATAAATTTTTTCTACTAAGATGTTCCAGAATTTGGAAAACGTACCTATTTCTCTGAGGCTGGATTCTCAGAATAGTCACAAACCTACCACTTTGGGAACTGCAGAAGATTGAATACCTAAACTAGTGGAATGGGTTTGTTTAGCTGATGCTATAATGCACATCTGGGTTTTTCTTTGAGAGAAGATCAGGATCCATAGCACGTCAGAAGGTAGGGCTCCTGGGTGGCTCAGTTAGTGAACAACTGACCCTTGATCATGATCTCAGGGTTGTGAGATCAAGGGTTGTGAAACTGAGCCTCCTGTCAGGCTCCACGCTGGCACTGGAGCCAGCTTAAGATTCTCCTTCTCTGTCTGCCCCTCCTCTCAGCCCCCCACCCTCTCTAAAAACAATGATCAGTTAAAAAATAAAATAATAAAAATGTCTGTGCTACTTTCAGGGATTTTGTTTGTTTGTTTTTACAGATTTGATTTTTTTTTTTCCTTTATGATATTTGGCAAGGGATGCCAAATATGGGGAATCATACAGCCAGTGCGTATTATCCACATTGCTTCTCATAATCCATAAGCCAAAACCATTCTTTTTTTTTTTTTTTTAAGATTTTATTTATTTATTTGACAGAGCGAGATCACAAGTAGACAGAGAGGCAGGCAGAGAGAGAGAGAGAGGGAAGCAGGCTCCCCGCCGAGCAGAGAGCCCGATGCGGGACTCGACCCCAGGACCCTGAGATCATGACCTGAGCCGAAGGCAGCGGCTTAACCCACTGAGCCACCCAGGCGCCCCAGCCAAAACCATTCTTAATAATCCTCCATCCTGGGGCCCTGGGTGGCTCAATCAGTTAGGCGTCTGCCTTCAGTTCAGGGCATGACCCCAGGGTCCTGGCATGGAGCCCCACTCGGGATCCCCACTCAACAGGGAGCCTGCTTCTCCCCCTGCTCATGCATGCTCTCTCTCTTGCTGTCTCTTAAATAAATAAAATCTTTTTAAAAAAAATAGTAATCCTCCTTCCTTTCGCCCTCCTCCCCATCATTTTGCTGAAGGGCAAATACAGTGAAATTCAGTTATTTGGGACTGTTCTTAGGAAGGATGTGGGATTCTGGCAGTATTCTCTATATCTTATATATATATAACATGCAGATCTATGTGATAAGTCATGTTTCCTTGTAACAGATAGAAAGCACTGTCCTGTCTTTTGCCACTATCGTTTATAAGGCATTATACATGGGAATTTTTTTAATTGTCACTGACCACTTTGTTTCTGTTTTGGCGTGTCTGCATAAAGTGTGTGGAGTATTAACATCACAACATTTAAACTATTGATGGTATTTAGCTTCATGAACTATAAAGGCCTTTAAAAGTGAGACCCAAGAGCGCCTGGCTAGCTCAGTTGGTAGAACATGAGACTCTCGATCTAAGGGTTGTGAGTTCAGGCCCCATGTTAGGCAGAGCTTACTTTTTTTAAAAATAATTAATTAATTTTTTAAAAAGTGAGACCCACCAGGAGTGATTCATAGATGGACACCTAAAAATTAACCTCAAAGCCAGAAAAAGGGGGTAGATGACAACAAGAATTTTCTTTTCCAATTTTGTTGAGGTATAATTGACATATAACATTGTATGCAGTGTTTAAGGTATAGGAGGAAGAAGAATTATTAAAGAGTCTTCAAGAGACATTTTGTGCTAAGTAATCAGTTGTCAATTTAGAAAATAGCAGAACCCAGATAGAACTTTAATTCCTTCCTGAAATATGTTCTTATTTTATGGGATCACAACATCAGGATTTCCTTCTGCAGATGTGTCCTAAAGATGTTTATCACATTCTCTCCGTGTGTTTTAGCGAAAAGTCTGTCCCCATCTCCTGAGTCCTCGGCATCGCCCGTTCCAGCCACTCAGCCGCAGCTCACGGAAGGATCCCATTTCATGTGTGTGTAGTCTCAGAAAAAGTACGTCAGTTCCTTTTGCATTTGTGCTTGAACTTCAGAGTTTTTAACTTGAGTTTTATTCACTCATTGGTTCGGTGAACAAAAACAGATTAATTCTGGACTGTGTGTTAGGGATCGTTGGCAGAGCAAGGAGGCTGTGGATTTGAGCCTTGGGCATTAAGTCAGATCTCCAGCCTCAGCCCTTCTAGTGATTTGCTACGTGACAGCGTTTTCTGTGTCTCCGATTTCATCGTCCATAAAAAGAGCCAAGCGAAGAGGGGATGGCCTGTGCCAAGAGAAACCTCACGGTGTTCTGCAGCTGTGCTCCCACATAGCATTCCTTTCCATAGTCGGATCTGAGAGTTCTGTGGAAGCGATTATGAGTTGATCAAGTAATGTTTTTTACGGTTCGTGCGGCATGTCTCCCGCAGTGGGAGTCTGTTAATTATTTTAAAGGACAAAGGAGTGTTTGTGGCTGGGCCAACTACATGGAATATCAAAATCATTAAGATCTATCAGAAATTTTTTTAAATAATTTTTTTAAGTAAGTAAGGTCACTACTGAAAAAAGCTGTGTTGGGAGCAGGGGGAAAGAGGAAACCTTACTTGAACATTGTTCTTTAGACCATAGTTTAAGAACTGAGAGTAATTTCCTTAGATCTTATAACAATTTTATAGACAAATGCTAAATTTTACTTGCAGTTTTGTACTTATAGGTATATACTCTTTTTTACTTTTCAAGAAAACTGAGATATGGAGCTGTTTATGCTTTTTTCTGCATTTTCTTATGCCATCCACCAGACCTAGTAATATTGTATGCTTTAGGGTTAACACCAGTTTCTATTGAACAATTACAAGCAGCAGAAATACATAGAGATATTACAAACATTATTGCTAACATGTTCTTTGACTTTTAGATTCTCAAGATAAATTAGTACAAATACTAAATTGACTTAAGTTTACCCAGCAGTGCTTATTTTCTAGAGTCTTCTTCCATTCATACCTTTTTGTAGCAACTATAACCTGCGTCCTTTTGTTCATCCAGAAGGATTTATGTCTGTTCTGTCATATTTGTAACTTTTATTTGAGATCATGTCTACATACAGCCTAGAAGAGGCCTTTGTTGGTTGTCATTTGGTATTTATGCAGGACTGACATCCTTTGTAGAGTTACAAACAACCTGTTTGTTACTGTCTTACCTATGTCTCGCCTCTGTCACTCATGCCTTTAAACTTTTAACTTACTATGTCTTGAAGTGACAGTTGCCGCTAGTGACAGAATCATACCAGAACAGGAATAGTCAGCGTATTTATTTGATTCCTCTCGTGCAAAGAGTTGGTAGATGGCCTCTGTCCATCTTATTGGAGAAGTGTACATTAAAATCCAGTCTCGTTATCTTTTGGTTCAATAAACAGGTTACCATTCTTTGTACACAGACCGATGATAATGAAGAATGCCGTCTGACAGTACAGAGTACATACAGTTAAAGCTCAAGTACATTTCCAGGTTCCTTGACTTGTTATTCTTGGATTTTGTTTCATTTTGCTTTCGCCCTTAAGAGCCAGTGGCATTCCATACTGGAATGGGGTCCAGTTATTGCCGGCTGTTTTCTAGGCTTCTGGCCCGCAGCCATGGTGAACAGCTAGCGGCCCTCAAACCGGCATCTCTTTATGTCTCCTCACTGTGTGTTTCTCACCTCGCTGACTGCGTCGTTCTGGCAGGGCTTGGGAAGCGTTTACAAACCACGCTGCTCTGTGGGCAGCTTAACACCTTACTACATATTTCGCAAAGTTATGCAAATCTTTGCTCATTCCGTTGATATTCAGCTGCAAATTTGGCTACTTTTTTTTATTCTGAATTGTGTTACTTAATTACATTCTTGCTTTGTGAATTAAACCTATGAAATGACAAGAAAATGTCCTTCCATTGTATTAGGTCTTCGGATTTTCCGAGGCCATGCTCGTCAGTTCCATTGTTATAAAACATTGCCCTCAGTTACTTTAGGAAATGGTCACTCGTTAGCTTTGCAGGTGTCAAAGTAATTTTCCCTGTCTTTGTTTTTCAGCTATACTGACTTCTGTTGAAACCATTCAAAGCTAAGGACATGGACCTTCAGCAATGTGAGAAGATATTGTACAGTATATTTTAAATCTATGAAATTCATAGTTCTGATGCTTTTGGCCACAGAGCATCATTTTATCACTTCTGGAAAATGTTTATTCCAAACAGCTTTAATGGCTCATATGTACACTCCATAATCTCAAGGTGGTTGTTCTGACACCAGCTTGCTGCTATGATTTCAGAGCACATAAGTAAAGGTGCTTTTTTAATGTGCGGTCTACAGCCAGAGCTTACTTAGTTGCTGATTTCCAGATTTTGATGTTTCTAAAGTTTAGGTGGATTTATATTTCTTTTTGCTTTTTCAGTACAAAAATTTAGTTATTATTTCCAATGAAGCTTGTTTTCCTTTTATTTTTCCTTCCCATTTTGGCTACTGCAATGCTTTGTTTCACACTTGATTTGTAAAAATTTTATATATATATTTAAGATGTGCCATTTCATTATTGCTAAGTGAAGTACGTCCTGTTTTCTGCTATAATTATTTCTCAGTCAGATTGCAATGTCAGCAGTTACTGCCACACTCTTGTCAGCTTAAACACAAATGTTACCGCTTACTCTTTCTTAAAAATACAATTTAAAATGTAGGCATTTTGAAGTACTGGGCTTATATTTCAATTGGGATAGATGTGTACAGCAACAAGCAGGTTTTCAAATCCAGTACTTAGTTTGTGTACAAATGTAATTATGTTCATTGTGTATATATTATACAATGAGCACATGTAAGTATTAAAGGCTACTTACTGTTGTTTAAATGCAAATGTTCATATCTCATTTCTTTTTTATCATGTTAAATAAATGTTGATGTTCTTAAATCACTTGTGTTAGAATTTTTGCTCTTACCATCTACAGTGGAAAGTCTGTGGGGCGTCTGGCTGGCTCAGTCAGTAGAGCATGGGAATCTTGATCTCAGGGTTGTGGGTTCAAGCCCCACATTGAGTGTAGAGATTACTTGAAAAAAAGAATCTTTAAAAAAATTAATCGAATTAAATGGGAGGTCTGAGACTTAAGGGACTTCTCAGTGAAACAGTAGTCTATTAATCTTACCATTGGAGACAACATCATAAAAAGACCTTTTCCGCCACCCAGTTCGTCTCCCATGTGAGAGCTCAAGGAACTTGAGGCGCAGGGAGATAAATTGACTGGGCCATAGTCATGTTATATTTAATGACAGAATTTGGACCAGAACATAGTTTGTTTGTTTGTTTTTCACATTTCCTCGGAGGCCATCAGCTGAACACCACTAGGCAGGTTTCATTTTGTGAAATTTTCTACACTTACTTCTGTTTGTTTCTGTGTTGTGGAAACTAGCTTCAAACATCTGCTTTCTCCACACTCGGTGGATTGGGCTTGAAGAGGGGTGTGTGGAGCAGAGGGTTAGTTCTCTGACAGGGGGAACTAGAAACTGTTTCATCATCAGAAGTAGGACCCTTAGAGATCATTTTCTCTTACAATACATTCTTCGCAGATGTTCACGCTCTTCAGAATCAATTACATTTCTTCCTCTATAACCTTTTGTTCATGCTATATATTGTTCCCAGAGTACAAGGAAATTTGATGCTTTTGGATTCCCATATGAAATGGCTGAAACTAAATTGGCAATGGTCAGTCTTTTTTTTTTCCCATGCTATAGTAAAGAGGATTTAAGTTTAATTCAAAATGCAGATACATAAAAATTTATCAGCTCCAAACAGAAACAAAATGAAATGCAAATAGATACAGTCTGTGTTGTGGAGGTGAATGAGAAGAGAGGTTAAGATGGAAGGAGAGTGTTCAGCTCTCTGTATCATAAACGTGTTTACACATACTGCCTTTCTCTGAAGACATCATGCCAAAGTCTTCCAAAGGAAGTAGGCTACAGATTATTATTTCCCTCTAATCACCATAATGGTCATTGTTACCGATCTTCCAGTCAGGGTGCTGGGGGAAAATGACTGTTGTTATTTGGTTTTTCCAAAGGATGCAGTTTTTAACATTTTTTTGGTGAGGTTTTTCATGTCTGTTGTGTAGGTGTGGTGTGTGTTGTTCTGGCTTTATATTTTTTTTTTTTTTAAGATTTTATTTATTTGACAGAGAGAGATCACAAGCAGGCAGAGAGGGAGGCAGAGAGAGAGTGGGGGAAAGCAGGCTCCCCACTGAGCAGAGAGCCCGACGCGGGGCTCGATCCCAGGACCCTGGAATCATGACCTGAGCCGAAGGCAGAGGCTTTAACCCACTGAGCCACCCAGGCGCCCCTTGTTCTGGCTTTATTAAACACAACATTTTTTTGAACTGTTTCAAGATGGAAGAATGCCCCATACTGGAATAAATACCTGGAAGCCTAGGGAGTTTGGAAAAAACAGTGTAGAGTTGTTGTAACTCATGTCAGCATTTCAGAAAGCCCGATGCAAACCATGTCCTTGTAAACAATACGGCAAAAGGGACTGTTCTCCAGAACTGTGAACTAGATCAGTACTCTATCTCACCTAACACTCAGCTTACTCAGCTCCTGCTGTCTTACTGGAGAGGTGCGCAGAAGTGAGGGCAGCAGAGAAGCCGGAAAGGCTGTTACTGCAAATGCAGGATTGTTATGGGTGCCACCTTTCCAGCATGGAAGCAAGCTCCAAAGTTTAATGTGTGTCCCTGCTGGGTTGGTTACTCAGACATCATGCCCAAGTCCCCCACATTGCCCCTGCCCCCAGTTTATTGAAAGTTGACATTCTGGAGTGCCTTGGTGGCTCAGTCGTTAACCGTCTCCTTTCAGCTCAGGTCATGATCCCCAGGGTCCTGGAATCCAGTCCCACGTCAGGCTCCTTGCTCAGCAGGAAGCCTGCTTCTCCCTCTGCCACTCCCCCTTCTTGTACTTTCTCTCTCTCTCTTCTCTCTCTCTCAACTAAATAAATAAAATCTTCAAAAAAAAAAAGTGTCATCCTCTGATGGTGGTCAAAAATTAAACATAATCATAAACAAGCAATCTGCAAACTTCTTTGTTTGCATATCCGCAAAAGTTTTTGTTGTTTTTTTTTTTAAGTTTATTTATTCATTTGACAGAGATCACAGGTAGGCAGAGAGGCAGGCAGAGAGAGGAGGAGGCAGGCTCCCCACTGAGCAGAGAGCCTGATGCAGGGCTCAATCCCAGGACTCTGGGACCATGACCTGAGCCAAAGGTAGAGGCTTTAACCCACTGAGCCACCCAGGCGCCCTCGCAAAAGTATTTTTAAAAATTATGTTTCCCTTTGCACATTACAAATTTGACATCTTTAGTTTTTCAGAAGTTGAGACAGTTGAAAAGAGGATGCAGTTTTTAACATACTATCAATTTAACTATGAAACTTTTTTTAAGATTTTTATTTATTTGGGAGAGAGCGACAGAGAAGGAGCCGGGAGGGACCAGAGGGAGAAGCAGACTCCCTGCTGAGCAGAGAGCTCTATCCCAGGACCCTGGGGTCATGACCTGAGCTGAAGGCAGACACTTAACTGACTGAGCCATCCAGGCACCTCTGAGGTGGATTTCTGAAGCAGGAGATGGAATAGGAGCTTGCTCTGTCTTCTCCATGCACCAACCTCCTGTACTGCAGTACCTCCAGACACTGCACCCCCTCCGGGGCCAAAACAAACAAAGATCAAAAAGAATAAAAGATGCAAACAACCTTTTTTTTCTTTTTCTTTTTAAGTAATCTCTACACCCAATGTGCAGCTTGAACTCACAACTCCAAGATTAAGAGTCCCATGCTCTACCCACTGAGCCAGCTGGGCACCCTACAAGCTTTTTTTTTTTTTTAAGGTTCTATTTATTAGAGACAGAGCACAAACGGGGAGGGACAGAAGGAGAAGCAGGCTCCCCAATGAGTGGGGAGCCCAATGCCAGGGCTCAATCCCAGTACTCCATGATCACAACCTGAGCCAAAGGAAGACGCTTAACCAACTGAGCCACCCAGGCATCTCACTAGATTTTTTTTTTTTTTAAGATTTTATTTATTTATTTGACAGAGATCACAAGTAGGCAGAGAAGCAGGCAGAGAGATCAGGGAAGCAGGCTCCCTGCTGAGCAGAGAGCCCGATGTGGGGCCCGATCCCAGGACCCTGGGATCATGACCTGAGCCAAAGGCAAGAGGCTTTAACCCACTGAGCCACCCAGGCGCCCCTAGATTTTTTTTTTTTTAATAGGAAATTTTACATCATCCTTTTTCTCCTTAAACTTATATTTCTATTTTACTTCATATTTGATCACAACAAATTATGGTACATAAAATTTAATGATTTTAATTATGTCTAATTCCATCCATTTCTGTAAGATCTTGTTTCTCAGCCATTATCGTCATTCATGTTTTCACCACCTGGAGGATTTTACATCCTGGGGTGTAAGAGTAAGATTCAGAGAAGTAGGTTTTTTGTATGTGAAAGAGAAAGGAGCTAGTATGAAAGGAGTGCCTTGATCTCAGGAGGTGGAGGAGTAATACGTTTTAGGCAGGAGTTTGTGTGGAAAGGAAAGTTCTGGATACGACGTCCACCGAAGTCATCCTTGCCTACATACCCTTGAAATGTTTCTGTGTACTGTTTTGGAGGATGCTGTCCTAGACTATTTGGCCATTAAAATATTTGTAAGTGTATCGATTTATACATAGTCACTGGTCACTTTAACTATTTTAAAGGTTGTGTGTAGATTTAACGCATGGCAGAGAGACTCACTGTTGATAGTAACAGTTGTGAACAAATATGTATGTATGAGAATAAATTGACTTAATGCAGAAACAAACTTTGTTATGCTAAAGTAATTTGGAAAGTTTTCCCAGAATTCTTCCAGAAAAATGGATCACATCCTTCTTGCCTAGGTTAAAAATAAATATCTGAAGTGTTTGTATTGTAAAAGCAAGAACTTTAAATTTTTAAATTTAACTTCTTTAATAACATTTTTTTTATCTTAAAATAATTAACAATAAGAAGTCAACCTAAAACATAAGGTGAAAGACTGGGTCGGAGGCGTGGGGGGAATAGAACAGAATTGTTGGATGTAATTCAAGCTTGGGACAACACATTTAAGTGGAGGATAGAACCTCAGAGCTGTGTCTCTCTCACAAGCTCCGTGCCTCACAGACTTCCTAGAGAGTCAGTCCCTTACGTCCTCTGTTAGTAGCTATGTTCAGAAAGCCTATCCAGTCGGCTTGAGGAAGGACTCCTAGGTCTTTCCTAGAAAGGGCTCCTCTCCGTTCCTCTGGTGCTGGCAAACTGTGTCAGCCACCATTCCAGGTTGGCAGAATGGCTGAAGGCACCTTCCACCAACTCTGTTGCTAGGAAACCTGAATTCCCCCCAGGCCTCTGTTACTGATCTGGGGCCTCCCAGATCAGTGTGGCAGTCAGGAGCACAAACTGGCGTGAGATTGCCTGCCTGGATTGGAACCTAGCTCTGTCACTGACTAAAGATGTGCCCTTTGCCAAAGTACTTACATACTCTCTAGGCCTAGTTTTTTCCATGAATCAAAAGTTGGTCTATCAGTTATTATTACCCTATAGTTGTTGTAAAGACTAAACGAGTTAACGTGTGTCCAGTGTTTAGAACATTTCCTGGAAATGCTCCATTTCCATGGAAATGCTTGCTACCATTAGCTTTTATTAACTAAGGGCTAACTTTATCTAACTGTAGTTTCTAAATGTACCAGGACACTCTTAATTACCCTATCTGAGCAGTGGTTTACCTTACTGATGTAGCATGCGTTAAAATCACCTGAAAGGCTTGTTAAAACACGGATTTCTGGGCCCCATCCCTAGAAATTCTAATTTGGTCACTCTGGAGTGTGGTCCAAAAGTTTGAATTCTAA